GTAATATCAATTTCTCAATATATTAGAATTTCTCTAATGCATTGAATCGATAAAAATAATTTATACCAATATCCTCATGTTACATCTAATATCAGCAATCGGCTTTTATATATTCAATAAAATAGCAAGCAATAAATTGTTATTGATTTATATCCTACAATCAGATGAAATGAAATATTACCAACGGTGAAAAAGAGATTTTGAAATTACGTAATTTACGATTGTTTAGACAACAGCAGAGAATCAAATTGCCCGATTTATTTTACGGCGAGGCAGCGTATCCCATAAATCATGTGATGGTTAGTATCTGTGTTACTGTCAAAGACTTGTTTTAGTTTTAAATGCAACTTCAAAGTAAATGCAGGAATTTATTTCACTTTCAAAACACATCCGTCATAGAAACTAACACACTTTGAAGGAGAAAAATATAAATATGGTGATTTCGTATTTCTTTTTAACTAAGTCTATGTAAACTAATATCATGATCAAACATTCCTTTATACTAAAACAACAAATATATCTCGCAGACTACCGAATACTTTTTAAAATTTCCTTCAATATGTCAATAGAATATAAGTTCTGATAACACAACCAGTAGAAGATTAGAGTAAAACGTTTCGATGACTGCGCGGTCACCAGACAAATGACCAGTGTGAAGCATATTAGCACTGACGTACGTAGTGTACGAGATGGTACGGAATCGACCAATTTTTTCGGCTGCTCTATACTTCTATGTACACTATCCTACCTAATAGTATCTTTATATTGAGTCCTAAATGCTGAACATCATTTCTATATTAAGGCTAAGCTGGCATCCTTGCGGCAAATATATTCAAGCGTAGCACCAGACACACGAGAAGAGAACCAATTTATATTTAACGGGAACTAGGAGCACACAAATGTTTTATAGTAAACTTAACTTACAGACGATGATATGACATCAATTTTGCCGAAGGAATACATATGGCAGAAAACCAATACAGTATCATCGAAAAAAGTTTTCAACCCAGAACACTTTGGAATTTTACTCTCAAAATTGTTTATGTACTTAATATAATCCGAGTAGATATATATATACCCTCCAACGATACACTGCATTTTTGAAATTTTGTAAGGTTGAAAATTTGAACTGACAAACATATCGTATGTTATTAAAAAAAAAAAAACAAAAAAAAAACAGCGTTTCGAGGTTTGAAACATCCCGCTACTACACAATTATAATGAGACTATTCTGGAATGTAAAAAAAACAAAAAAAAAAAAACAGTAATTTCAAATGTTATCATAAGATTTTGTTATTTCATTTTTGTCCATAACTGACATCCTTTGTCCTCTGGTTAGCGTTAGTAAAGTGACTTTTGATATGTACACAATTAAAAAAAAAATCCAAAGTTGTAAAATTTCTGGCTGTTTTGTACCTTTTAAGATCGCATTCTAACAACAGGCGAAATTGGTGAGAATATTCCAGCCAAAGCGTCTAAATATAGCACATCGGGAATTCTAGAACTGAAACTTTACTGGATCATAGATTTTACTCAAAGTATTGGATGAATAAACAAGTACGTATTTCTCCACTAAAACTGTTGGTATTACAATCTTATTACTTCATTAGGCTTATTTTCTGATGATTATATGATTAACATAAATAGTCGACTTATAACAACGCAAACCTGTACAGACGCAATCAGCGCCGCGCGAACGATTTAAAATCGATCTAGCTAGATCTATAAAGAATTCCCATAAATTAGATATAACATGTTTGATTAGATGGTAAATTAATGTGTACGATTTCCATAGGAACACAAGTAGATGATTGTATACAGTTGTCTTCAGATGTATACTTGTGTGGATTACACCTTTCAGCCATAACCTGTAAACACGTGTCTTGTAATATGTAAATCTCTGTACACAAAACAAAAAATATGACATAAATAGTTTTTATATACACCAGATATAGCATAAACCGATTCTGATAGAAAAGAACAAGGCATTTGAGCAGTTAAATACGTAGCCAATATCACAGTTTCACATATTCATTCAGCACTGTATATATAGATTGGTCTATATTTATACATACAAAACATTACAATCTACCCTAAGTAAATACCTTGGTTAACGACGCTAAAAATAAATGTATTATTAAACTGTTTTTGTAGTTCTTATATTGACTGCACGTTGTGAACGTACTTTGTAATAATGTTAATTGTTTGGTGCTTGAGTTGACAAAAATGCACAGACAAAAGTATATATATATATCAATCTCGACACTCGAGTTTGAGAGGAGGCAAAAATAGTATAAAGTGTCAATATTGATTGTCGTCATGGGTTTAAACAAAACATTCTGTCAAGCAAACTTTGATTTCTGAAGGAATAGGGTGTATCGAATATCCAATCAACAGTCAAAACACAAAATTACAGGTTATCTAAAATCCAGCTCTCGACTGGTGACATGAGGAAAGAGGACACATTCATATTCTCTTAATGTTATTTGATATCAAAAATTGATTCAAATAAGGCTCACGTTATCCCCCGATACAGTTTTTGTATCAGTTTCCTGGTTAAGAAGGTTATCTTTTATATGTATTGCCAATGGTATGGTTCCTAGCGTCAATGGCGTCCTATTAAAAAAACTGTACGAGGAGATTTTATCTGATATCTCGCAAACTGTATGTCCATTAGTGAACCTACATTTAGATTCTGATTCATGTTCACTCGATATCTTTTCTTCGCAAAAAAAAACCAATATGATTGCATAACACTTTACTGCACTTGGTCTATTAGAAAGTATTGTTATAAACGTCACGCTAGTTGTAATAGATAAGAAGGGAACACCTCGAGCTTATGCACTACTTAACCTTTCTAGAGGAAACTGTTTAAAGGTTATGTTACATCTGCATTTTTTCTCATGCTGTTTATTCCGCTTTACAATTGTGTTGGTGGATTTTGTTTGGTTCATGCACTCAAAATTTAAGAGGATAAAATGAATATAAAGTAAGACATATGATCAATTTCCTATCTAGTCACTTGCAGTCAAAATATGTTTGTTAGATGCTTATAAGGATTTGCTATGAAACAAAACGGAGTTACAATACCTGACAAATTATTGGCAGTAATAAAAAATATATAAAAGAAGAAAAAAAATCATCACTTTCGAACTTACATCCGTTTACCATATCAGAAAGGTAACAACTCTTAAGCATGGTTGTGTCCTCGATACCCCAGAGATTACCATCACTTTCATCTCTGCACACCTGGACCAGTTTATGGCAAAATTCAAGGTTCAATGTGCGACACCTACCAAAAGGCTAGCTTGATAGTTTAATGTACATCAAACGAATCTGGAGGTAGTACAATAGCATATTGTGATGGCTTTGAAGTTGGGTGTTGTTCCTTTGTAATTTTCAAAAGGATCGTATCAGCCCGTAATTGGTCAGAATTTTTCTCCGGGCATCAATAAAATTACTTCGCTTGTGTGTGTGTTTTTTTTTTTGGCATGACATGTTCAAGGGGTGCGAAATTCACCGTAACCTATGGAGTATCGCGGGTACCGTTTTTGGTACTTTTTGACATGTATATTTTTTCTATCTAGATGTGTCTCTGGTCACAAGTTCTGACGTCAATAAATAAGTTAATCTTACATCCCTAGAATTGTGAGATCGGAAAGAAAACTCTTATGATATCACACAAACTTGGATGTATCCTCAGAGCAGTTGTGGATTTCTGTTTAATGGTGATGTATTGTCCTTAGTATATATATTTTTCTGTCTTGCACTGTGACAGACGATTGGGGCTGAGTGACTTGCGAGGTTATAGAATCCCGTGAACTTTACTCCTTAAGCCAGGAATATAAATGACTTAAGCAATCTCAAGAGAGCTACAATGCAAGTCAATATATTGGAAAGGTTGCAGAAGCCTGCACTGTTTGTGTCAAGAAATGACATGTATGGCAATAATGTTGACGTAATCAGTAACGCTCTGACGTTTTTGAGAAGGGTTTTAAATGAGATCGGATAGTTTTTAGTATAATTCAAATTAATTTATCTTTACGGAAACACATTAGATCCAGAGAACAGTTTCTATCAGTTATATAACAAGTGCCAGATGATCAACTTTTGACTATCTTAACAAAGTCAGCAGACATGACAGCTCTTAATGAAATACCATATTATCTACGTTAACAAGCAAGATTATTTCTGTCTATTACTTTGGATATACTGCACTGTGAGTTATATCGTAATATAGTTTCAAATATGTGTCGCCACCAGAACTTGGCTAGGCTCCAATTCTTATGTACGTCAATACACAACAGCGTAGATCTGCATCTACCTTACATGATAATCACGTGACAGGGTGACATAATTCAGACGACACTACATATGTAGGGTTACTTTGCCATGCCTTGTCATTAAGTACGTAAAGTGCGCCTTTTTGTTTTTTGTCGACTGTAGCCGCCTTTCTGTAGATATGATTGTCTTTTCGTACATGCAAGTGCAAAGAAACCCAAAAATTGAAATATCGTTGATGTTTTCCCATGCTAATAAACATACACCTCAAAGCGTCACACGATCAATTTAAGGCTATATGGTATGCACAGTAGTTTCGTAAATACGCTATTTAAGCTGTATTGTCGTTTTCAATTGAAGTAAACATCTGTTTTCTAATACCGTTCAAACTAAGCTCACTGATGCCTCAATTGGTACATCCCTTTTGGTATTTTGCAGCATTTCTCGGTCTTGTATTCACAATGGGCCATACATTAAGAAGTGATGAAGTACTGTTTTCCAAGAAAAATAGAATTCATTCATGTACACTTAATACACATGAACATTGTTTAATTTTTTTCCACTGAAACATTTTACGGTTACGTCCAGGTATGTATTACGGTCTCTACGGAACTGTCATCCCATCGAGGTGAACAACTTCCGGTCTAAGCAGCTGTAACACTTTTGCATAGTGTATCTTTGGTTGTAGAAGAATACTCCTGTAGGCTTATGTGTTTTTTTCAAGTTCGAAAGTTTGAATTAACTGAAAATAAAAATAAAGCTTATATTAATGAATTATAATGACTAAATCTTCATGATATATTCTTTCTGTAAAGGTTTCTTGGATACGGAATAAATCTGTCAGGTGTATGTCTAGCCTGACAAGTTTTCTCATTGTTTGTTTTAGACGTCTCTTCACACATGTCTTAAAGTTTTCTTTTTATTTATTTATTTATTTTGCATTTGATAGAAAAAGATAAGGGTAGAAATAATACTTACTGTCGTAAAATATATCTCTTTTCATGCTACATAATCTGGACTGTGAACGTAATAAAACGTGTCAAATTATGATGATAGAAACAAATAGCTAATACAGAAATGGAGAAAAGTGAAGAAATCAATATTATCATCAGTCTGCAAAATATTATATACTTGAAAAATCGATAACGATCATTGCAAAAGTAAGACAGCAACTGATATTCATTAGTAGCAATCCCTGTCCCAACTTGAAAATAATGAAGTTTAGGAATTCTTCCTAAGGTTTTCTGACTATCTCATATTGAACAGAACATACATATTGATGAATGTAAGTTACTAGTTCGTGAGTATAATAATTTCGTTTTCGATATATTTTAACTTTTAGCAGAATTATTATATTTCATAAATCAATTTATATTTAAAATCTGATGCAAAATATATCTATCAATGATACTAAAGATATCAAAATTATAAAATGTTGGTAACATAACGTATTATGTTGCATAAATATGTAAGGTATAGAAATAATTTATAGCTTCTGCGTGTATTCTGTTCGAAAAATAATACAAAATCATTTATATAGGTATACAACAGAAAGTTTGTCATCAATACATATTCTTAGCCTTATTGTGTTTAGTTAACAATCACAATAAATTCAAAATAATGAAATAATCAAACCGATCGATTGAGCGTTTTTAATTATAATTATGATCGTTCCAGTCGTATCAAAGATCGCAGGAAACATTACATGCTTACCTGTTTCCGAGAATTTATATTGGTTCGAACAACTCTATGGTTGAGAGGCATAGCAGGCCTTACGTTGTCCCAAGGCCAAGCCATACGTACGTTCCTTAATTCCCTTAACTAAAAACAAAAATAAAAGTTATCATAATCGATAGTATGTATGCATGGGTGTAGAAAAAATTTACAATCGGTTGTAGGATTTTGGTGGGAAGGCTTTGGTATAGTTTAGTTTCTATGAACAAAATGTTTGTAGTCTCCAATTCGATAGCCTATTTTAGAGTTTTTAATTGATTTTTCTGATAGAACAAAAAATCTTTTCATTGCCTATAAGTCTTAAAGACCATATGTGAATATGTGAGCAGTGAATTCAGCATCACAAGACCCATGAAAACGTCAAATATATGAATTAAAAACTATTACACAAATAAAAAAAAACTTTCAATTGTCATGTGTAGATATTTAACACAGACGTGAAATATCGTGTTGTAGGCTTTTAGTTACATGTAGACGTCAAGCAACATTTTACAGAAAAAAATACAGTCCTCGTCATGACCGCTGACCACGACGGTGTTCCACAAAAGGAAAGCTGATGTCTTAAGAGAAACTTTCGTTATTCATGAAATTCAAATGCATGTCTGTCATTGATTGATCTCACTTAATATCATCAAACCGATTTCAACATATGTGAACAAGCAAAAGCATTGAAAACAAATGTCAGTGGTTGAAGATACTTCTCGGTTGCTGTAAACATTGTGACGAAGTCTATAAATGCTAACAACGCAATGTTTTATATAAATACACTAATGACCACCAGATGACGAGAACCATTAACCGGATGGAACGTTATCTATCACGTGCTGTTTATCACACATCCATGCCATTCTACCTATTCTAACGTCATATTTAATAAATATTACGTCACATAACTTATTGTCAAAATAAAGAGCGTAGATATAGCGCCAATATGATTTAGACCAGGTTGACTTAAATTCGTAATCATTCTGCATTTCATTTTCGTCTCAAATGATTATTTCAGCTTTGCAGGTATTCGCTAACATGGAATATAAAAAAATCGACTCGCTTTTATATATCCCATATTTAATTATTTTTTATGTATCTATAAGCAATTAACAACAGAACGTTTGTAATGGTTACGGAATATTAGTTCATAATGATTGTCAGTAGGAAAGAACTATTTACCTGTGATGCTGATATATATGTTGGTTTATTGAAAATGATCCAGGTAACAGTTTCTTGACAGCTGGGCTGAGTCATAGACCCATCATAAGTGATATAATGATCCGTATGAGGCAGTAGATCCGCTATAGAAAATGAGTTTATCTGTACAATGGAATCTGGCAAAGAGACAACATATAGTAAACAATCAATAATGAAAATCACATTTTCATATTGTTTCAGGTGAACGTTTGAAAAATGCGTTTTATCATTTTAAATTGATGATAAGGAACAATAGATCATCTTATAATTAAAGGATTTTATTGTGTTTATTCATTGCTAAACATGTTTTATAGTAGTTTGTTTTCTCCAGGTGATATATCGAGATTGTAATATATTAAAAATCTATAGAAAAGAAATCTTTCTATCACAGACACAAATATGTTTGTTAAAATTGATTTATTTTCCCTGCTCTATTTCTTCTCCCGTAAAGGGAATTACCTTTTTTTCATTCGTGTATCATACATGCATGCAATTTCACTTTTCGACTTCATCATATAATTCATACAACAGAAAATCGGTATGCGTTTGTTATATTTTAGGAGAAAATCCTAAATCCCACGAGAATCACATTCAAATCATAAATTCATTGTCTAATGAGATATCTGTGTTAACAGATGGACGAATTCACATTTCCATGAAATTCAGTCTTTAATGATTGAAATATAAACAAAGTTAGTACATGTATTTCGTAATGATTACCTTGGCTAATCTAATTTTACTGTTTTAATGTATTATGAAAAAAGTCCGCCATGAGCCGTCTACATCCTTAATGACATATCAGGTAACACTATCAGACTGGTGAATACTCCCATAAATGATATATGTTTCCCTGACTATATATTTGACGATGTTACTGACGTGAAACTGCATTCCACTGACTGAAATTAAACGGTTTTATCCAATTTTTGGAGTTTATAATGTAACGGTTAAAACGTTATATATCGAAATTGTTAACAAAATACCATTCTGTATAGTTGAGGATTCGAAACTAATTTAAAAAAATGCTTGAAGACTATTCAGTGTGTAATTTATTCCGACTGGTGCTGGTTTGTGGGCATCCATCGGGATGTTATATAAGTTGATAAATAAGATTATACAACGAAAGGTTTATATTTACAACCGTCAATAACCATTAGGCATTTCGAGTCCAGTACTGATGGTTTCGATTGAACAGAAAGCGACCAACACTTGTGTGTGATAATATCAGTGGATTACCAATCGAAAGAATGAGTTGACATGTGATTAAAACGCTTACAAATGCTAAAATCCAATTTGTTAGGGATGGCTACTAATGGCTTGTTTTGTTATTGCTTTGCTTTCCTTTGGTTTGGTTTTGTTTGTTTGTTTTTCTTTTTTATGTTTTGGGTGGGTTTTTAATGTTTTTGGTTTTTGTTCTAAGAAATGTAATTATTTGGACAACATTCTAATAGAAATTATAAAACTTGGATGACAATTATCGATTATCTGATAACACTACTGCTGCTAACTGTTATTCCAATGCAGTCTTGGCCTTAGCGCGCATGTTTGTTGAGACTGTTTTATCTAATTGGTTGACCTCGTTAGAATATCTTTTTTAAAAACAACGCAATTGCCATATAACCACGGAAACTAGTTCTACGACATTTGTTCCAACACGACACTTGGCCAAATTCTAAAATAAAAGATGAAATCTGATCAATATTGCAACTCATTTATTTGGGATATCGCAATCACCCCATCCTCCTCCTATGATCACATCCACATCCGTAGAGTGTCTGTTACTTGGCAGCACTCAAACATTATTTTAGAATGAAAGCATTTCATGTGAGAAAAAGATTTTTGTATAGTTGATTTGATTAATTTTTAAGGCTATGTTTCGAAGAATTTTATAAACACCTTAGCTAAATAGTGTCAAAGACACGAATATTATCAAAAGGCATTATTTCATCGTACATAGATATGACATTGAGTTATTCTACACAAAGAATGTTAATCATACCGAGTAAACTTTAACTGTGAACATGAGTCCTTGTTTTAAATGCCTGCAATAGCGTTCGATATTTCCGCTGTCTCTTATTGCAACCCCGAATCAGTCATTTCAGATAAAAAAATATCCTATAAATATATTAGAATAGTAAGCTCCTCGCAAAGCACTGAAACGTAGACTAATAGACTGGCGGTCTTGTTTCCCTGAACATTGGCGTCTCTCGAAATAACAATCGTTTTAATTAAAATCAATTATAGTCTCGAACTGGCACAGTCAATTTAAAAGGAGAAGAGAGTTCATACGGAAGCTTAACATTTTACAAAATTTCAGACCTAAGATAAGGAATGTATTACATATACAAGAGTGTTCTATCATGTTTTGGGGTTATTTATTTCAGAACAAGCAAGCATCTTCGATATATATATATATAGAGAGAGAGAGATAGAGAGAGAGAGATCTTGGGACTTAATCTATATTCGAGAAAATTGTGCTGAAATCTCACATCCAAGGTCGTCATTACGAACGAATACTTGTATTGTCAGTTTCGAATGTTACGTACCATAGTCCCTACTTATATCAGGTTATGTATGATTGTTTATGGTAGAAAAATAACAGGAATGAGATAGGAAGATAGGAGTATAAAGTCTGCGATTTAACGTCGTCATGACTCTTGTGGAAGTTCCAACATTAAAATCATGTAATCTTAGTTTATAGCGGAGTTTCCTTCAGGAAAACTGACACTCTGTTAGCTCAACCGTTACATCTGTCGCTGATAGAAACACATGTTGTGAATTCTTATTGACACGACAGTTTGCTACTTTCATATATATTGCAAGTCGTAGTCAGATATCTATATATCTTTTATATCTTTTCAATATTAAAAACATTCCCCTTATTCGCATAGGATATTCTAACAATTTTAATGAGCGGGTCGCTGTTACATAGGCATAAACTGGATAACAACGAGACAACTTGCGATTTCGTCAGTTACTAGGTAGACGGGGAAAAAAGATAAGTTTCACCGATAAACAACGAAGTTTTTCTTCTGCACTATGAAATTCAATACATAGACTATTAAAAAGGGTCATATATTGTACTATATAAGTATGCAATTTCTTATAGATTTGAAATAATATCTTTTGAAAACTTTGAATTACTTACTTCTTTCACTTATGGCTTCCAGATTACTTGTAAATACTTTTAATGCTCGATTAGGTTCCAGTCCTTGTGGCTGTATCTGCAAAATAAACAAGACAAGATACAAAGAGATAAGCACGGACTGAGAAAGCTTTTTGCTTTACCGATAAAAACATAACTTCATCATAGCAAGGAATCTATGAATAATTTCTTGATTGTAATTTTGGAATATAGATAAAGAAATTCAACATCCGCTCTTAAAAATTATGCCTTTTTTAAAACTGAACCTGAAGTCTCCATTCTTAACAGCTATATACTCTATTCCGAACTCAGCAATGTGTCCTTTGCCCTTGCTTTTTCAAAGAATGATGAATGACATCAGAGATATATGGCTGTGAATTATAGAGATCTCACAAATCAGTTTTTGTGATACAAATGGGAACTCTGTGCTTTCATTGGTGGTTGAATTTTTCAAAAATAAAAATAATAATAATGATAATAGAATAAATAAAAACATTTAATCAGATAACAAAGACGTTGGCAGTGTCTTTATTCCTGATTGTGAATTTTCTATTTCTTGATAGCAACAAACAACTGTCAACTGTGATATTTATATAACACGGTTATTATTCAATGATAGGATATGTTCCTGTTAAAAGTTGCTTCTGAGCATGACAGTAGAATTAAACTCTATTGTTAACGTGTGTATTATGTAGCCCAATGACAAGTGAGCAAATGTAGACAGCCAAACACAATGCGTAACAACTTATAGTACTCTTTTAAACAAGAACTATTCTGTAATTAGAATTATTTATGGATATCTTTGTAAGTCAATTTAGAACAGAGAAAAAAAGCTATCGCCATTAGGACCCACTCATATTTCCGCTTCGGAGAAAGGAGTGCCATTAAACATGTAACATCAAACTTCCTTCGTAGAAACCATATGTATGTGAGGAAACTTGATGCCAATTACACGCAAAACACAGTGGTTTGGTACGAACGTAACTGAGGCAACTCAAATACTACAGTGTGCAATATCGAAAGTTTAACAATGAAGTCTTATGGAGATAAACTGTTGATTTTCCAGAGGGAATCTACGGGGATTTCATCACCATTTTTAAAATAGAACCTTGTGCAATCACCTCGTCGACGTATACCATGGTTTACGAGGTGCAATATTAAGCTCTATTGTTAAGGGATTTCCAACTGCGAGGAGAAGTTTCATTTCACTACGTTAGAAAGATGTCACTTGACAATCGCGATCGTAATATGTTATTAGTACAAACAGCACTAGTCAGAAGAGTGTCTGAAGGGGATAGGCTTTGATTTACCGAATGCTACCGAACGACCTTACTGCTGAATGCGTTTGTTTGTTCCCTATTGGGCCTTCATATACGTTACTTAAACCTACCACTCACGGAAACGTCAGTCTCACTTTCTTCTTTAATAGTGTTAACTGAGATCTATGGACGGGAATCACATTTACAATGAAGTTCTTGTCTTTAGATGTACTTTTTAATGTTTACAGATAAAATGTCATTAGTTTAGCCAATATTTTTGCGAGATTCATACGGGAATTGTTGGTCTTTGGTTCCGTAGTGTGTTGGCTTGTCGTTAAAACAGGATGCACGGACGAGCCAATTAGGAGACATAAAAAAATACGTTAGGGAAATATTCTTTATGTATTTATTCCTTATTCCGTTTAATTGTCGAATAGGATAATTTTGTTTAAAGTTTGATTAGCTGCTTTTATGACCTGAGGATGCCTTCTCACAAACCTAATTGATCAGACAAACAAGCCATGCGTGCAGAATTCTGACAGTGTCTTTAGTCAGTCTGGTTTTCTAAGTCTAGTTCTAAACTGTTTCAAATAACGTCAATTAGGAACGAATGTTAAAGCTTGTAATAACGTCACACATTTCCGATTGAAATGAAAAAAAAATCTTTTAAATCATCTTGGACTTATTTCAGCAAAGTATATGAAATTGACGTATTTCTTTCGGTTCGTTAGTCAACCTACCGTGTCACGTAATGTTTCCCTTGTTTATCTGATAAGTACCTATTCTTCTAATATACAACATTTTTTATAGGTTTTTAGGCTACACATGCAAGATTTCGATTGCAGTCTCACGATGAAAGAAAAATGGCTTAAACCTACTTTATCATGTCTTTTAACTGACACTTGTACATTAGTGGATGTATATGTTCGGAGGATGTCAGGATCTGCATAGTGAATTACTCCAGGCAATGCGGTATTATCTATAACGTATGGTAAAAATGCATAAGTCATCCCCTCTGACAACCCTTTCTACACTTCCGGTCAACTGTCTTTATATTATCAGTGAAGAATAAGACTGCATTGAGAACATTAACACGTGCCATTAGGGGAGAAGATTGGTGATTGTCTAACTCTTGGCAAGTATTGGGCTTAGACAATTTAGAATGTCCCTTTTCTTAGTAAAGTAAATGTAGAAGTGATGTATATGAGAAAAAAACATCTAATACAAAATCAATGAAAAACAGCTAAAAGGTATTCTTTTTTACGTTTCAAACAACAAATCATGAATAGTTATTTGGGTGATTTGAGTGAAAAATATATTTGATATTGTAAAATTGTAAATAACATTCTACCAAGATTATATCAAACGTGTATAATTATGATGATAGTCTAGGTGAAAAATGAATTTTCACATACTATTCTGAGAAACATTTAACGTTGTCACTAGTTTTATGTCAATGAACAATGTTCAGAACAATCGAATGCATTGCATTCTGACTTTACAGAATAAAAACACATTAATGAGAATTACGTGTAGGCAGTATTATGGTTAACACAAAAGAAACTGTAGTTACGATGAGACATCGAGGCTGAAATAAAAATGTTATCATTGATTATTTCATTACTCATACATATAATTGTCAGGTGTAGACCAAATATGACTCACTTCTGATAGTGATTCCGTGATTGCAATATCTAACACCCACCAGTATCTTTTATGAATGAGTATTTCCTAGTTCTAAGTAACCTTACTTGATATGAGGCTTAAATACCTGTTCATTATTTAGTTATGAATTACGGTGAACTACAAAGTATCAATGATGAGATATTTTAACTATCAGAACATGACTTTAACGTCATGCATAAATCATTACGAATCTTGCAGTCAGTTTCGCGTCATCGTTTTTTGTATGCTGGAGGTCATACACTCTCTTATTGTGGTTTAATGGACAAATCCTTTTGAAGTATGACTCCACAAATTCACATAAAATGGTTGATGTTGTTTGTTTCTTTGAAAAATCCAGTTAAATGGAACAGTTGAAAGGGCTGTACAAAAGATATACAAGTGAATATACTAAAGTAGCAAACGTTATCATACAGCTTAACTCGCATTCGTCCCAACTTCTTTAAAAATGTGCAAAAGACGCACAAATGAATAGCACCTTTCAGTTCAAATCCAGAATCGAGATATACTGAATTAAGTAGTGAACCAAACGCAACCTAAGAGGCGATTGAGGAAAATTTAAAAAAATAGTCAAACACATGTCAGAATCTAAATCTAAATATTCTGCTTATGTAAACGTTTTCGGTGTTTGCTAAATTCAAGAGTCATCGCGATAATAAACGCTGTTTTTAAGTGAGAAAGTCAGCTTTGTGGGACGAAAATAATATTCGAGTGTGCCTCATTAAAATATCACTTACCTCTAAAAATGTTGAAATTATGACGACTCCATTTGAAGAATTTTCAGCACGAGACATATTTTCATATAAATCACCATTATATCCAATTATTTGCATCTGAAATTGAAAAGGACGGATATACAAGTTTTCTACATAACTCGTTATGTATCAACGAAACAGAAATATTGTTTTAATGAAACAGATCTTTATACTTGGAAAGTAAAATGTGTATCTTATATGTAACATCTGACTGTATGGTTATGTAATATATACATTAAAATATATATATGTGGTGTTGCAACGTTGCTCGGATTGTATCGGGGGTTGGGTGGGGGAGTGGGGAGGTAGTGGTGAGATAAGGGGAGAGGGGTGGGTGTTGGGGAGCTGATTTACTGCTGCAGTGTCTATTGACCATATACTGAAGCCCTCACGTTGTAAGTTTGGAAATATCGCCTGCGCTATATGATCGACAGGGAATCATACCGCCAGACATTTACAACTTTCAGAATAAAAAAAAAATATTACAGCTCTCTGTAGTCCGAATGCATAATTACCGTGATGTAGCCTTTACCACGGGGACGTTCGATATAAGCCATAGATAAGTACACATTTGGTAGAAATGATTTTAACGTAAAGTTTACGCCAGTCGCGTACATCTTGATGACTTGGCTCTTCCATATGTATTCCAACACATATTTATGGAGATATGCGTGGTAACGTCCACTGAATAACGGCTTACACGATAGGATATCAGGGAAAGCCTTTCAGAAAAACTATTACTGATGTGCACAGCATGCGGACGTCTTCTGGACATAATGTCCAATTTTAAAGCATAAATACTTATTTATGATTTACAGGCTCTGAACAGACATTGGTATCTAGAAAGATTCTGTCTGCGTTAAATGATAGTGGTTTGTTCTCTTAGAGTTTATCATGGATTTTGCAATATAAAATATCTATTGGTTTTGTATATGGACAGTTATTGACTAAATACCCATTTGAAATGATTAAGTCTTCAGAATAACATGCCAGTTGTTTTGTCTCAACACTGCTGGCTATAGATTATTTATACCATTGCTTTGTAAATGAGCTTTTCCCTGTAGCTCTTTTCACTGGGAAGGTATGAAAAGTATGTAAAAGTCATATGGCATAGTTACAATAAATAACATCTCGCTGTGTGAAGACTTCTATCAAACATTAAACCTAAAACCAAAGCTTAAATAAGAGATGGAAACCATTAAACATTAGTTCCGTTTGTAAAGAGGCATTGAAATTATCACCTGAGAGAGAATTATTCATTCGTATCGTTTGTTATAAAACACACTGCCAAAGTTACTCTATTTCTCTTTTGCTTAACACGTCTATTTTCGTTCTATAAGACTGCTAACCAACAAAAATCGTATTCATTTGACCGATATCTTTGTCTCGTTTACAATTCTCACAACTTAGATCATTCTGCAATTGCCAAAACTATTTTAGTTACTAGGAAGATGCCAAACAGACAGAAAATATTGGCCACAGTTTAAAGTTTAATGTACCAAATATATCAAAATAATTAAGAAGTAATCTAGTCAAAGTATAACTATACATAAAAGGAAATAACGATATTAAGAAGTTTATTCGTGTTTTGATGTTAGAACATGACCAGATTAAGGGTATTGATCAGGCTGATGACACTGAAAAAATGTAGGTCATGTTGATACGTCGATGATGACATATGATGTTTAATAATAAACAAAACTAACGTCTTTTTTATTTAGTTATCAGGTCTAGCAAAATAGTTTAATTTAAATTTCTGAAGATAAAAAATTATCTATCAAATGAAACAGCGAACTAACCAAGCTAACTCTTCTTGTTTGATGTATCGTATTTTCAAACGTGAATTCATGGAGAACCTTTCAGACTCAGACGTATAACATGGATACTACACACGCCATTTCAATTCTATGTAACAAGCAACCGGAAATAGAGATATAAAACGATAAACTCACTTCCGCAGGAAATGCTCGTCCGGCAATTCTGTGCTCTGATCCGTTAAAATGTCTTTTGCTGAAATGAAATTTGATGGCTGTCACGTGATACTTGTATGACAAAGGTCCTTCGCTAACATTGACGTGAGTTGGGAAAGAACTGTCCAACAAGAACGTGATGTCATTTCCGGTGTTAAGCAGCTTTCCATTTACCTGCGAAAATAACGTACGGGGATTTGATTTGATATATCAGTGAATTTGTAGATGTATAGAGCATGTGAATAGCGGATGCTGATAAATTACATTTGTACTGTAACAAACTTGATTCGATTTCCTTACCTATTATCATGCCATTGTACATGTACATCACAAATCCCTATGCTCGGCAGTTCCCAGAATAAAACACGCTAGCTAATCGAATCGTCAACCATAAATGGTTGTCAGTTTAAGAAAATGCTTGCATGAAAGACCTTAGGTAGTTTCCATCATCATACAATAAATTTCACTATCGCAAAACAAGTTTGTACGGGGAAAACGTTTTATGGCTAATTTACACCATATCACTATTGCCGAGATTTTTTGGGTTTACGATATTGACGGTGATTATTCTATCCATTTCACATTTAGTACTCAGAGCAACACATTTATATATTATACGACCATTAGTGTAGTACTTATTTATCTCGCTTTTCGCAAGGCCCAAATCTTAAATGAACGCTGAAGGCTGGAGTTAATGCTCGAAAAAGGACCAAACGAGGTCCGATTTTGTTTGAAATATTCAGCCTACATTGGTCAATTTAAACTTTATATGAATTCTACACTATTGACCAGAAGGTCATTTAGACTGAAATTAGATTGAAATGACATATCTCAGACACATACGTAACTGTTTTGGTCCATTTACTGTTTTAGGTAACGGTTACAAGTACTTTAATCTTTCATGGCAGTACATCTATTACCTGCTCTGGAACCACCCAAAAGTCAATCGTTAGGAAAGATGATTTCTTTCCTTTGATTAATTTTTAGGCAGATTAAAAAAAGACCTTATTACGAAGGACATAACTTTTGATAAGTTACAGACACTAAAAAAACTCAGTTGACATTGCTTTTGTAATAAATTGCAAAGGTTTTTAAAAACTTTCCTTTTTATACGTGGTCCCTGGTATTTTCTAAGATAACAAAGGAATAAGTGCAGATGAAGGACTTTAAAATGTTATTACAAGACTTGATGGGGATGGCGCTTTTAAAATGCATTCCAAAAATCACCAATTGTTTCGTATTCCAAAATAGGAGGGCTACCAGCAGCGGGACTGTATACTGTTTTTTTCTTCTTAAATTCTCAATTTACCGATGTGACATTAGATCTATATCACACTCAGAACTTTTTACTAAACGAAAAACTATCAGATATCGTCATTGGATCGAGTCTACATACTAGAACGAACCATTGGGTAAGGAGGTCAATGGTTTTCCATAGGAAGATATTATAGTCTGTTTTCCAACCAACTCTATTATACTCCGAGACATCACTTGAAAAACAGGCACAATACTTCTGCGATCAGTGTTAGATGTTTAGAAATGCACTCTTAAACGACATTTAGTTCTGAAAAATAATGACATGTTTTAAAATCTAAATTTCAAATTTAATTGTTATTTAACTACATGAAAGGAACATCTGAGTTGTCATAATTAGGAAATGATCATGTTGGATTCACACACCTGGATATTCAAAATTTATTTTATAAACATTAAACTAAAATTCGTTGAGATAACCTTATAATTAATACCAAGAAAATATGTTACATTCATTATACAAGACTCCACTGACATAAAGAAACAACGCTTCGAAACAGAATTGAGTAATTATGATAATATAGGATTGAACAAAATAAATATTGAATGATTATTTACATAATAAAACTATTTTATGTTGCTGACTGTACTGACAATACAACAACTGATCCAAGTACATATTGACTAAATAAGATGATTTGACAACACGAGAACATTGTACAAGGTTAACTTATCGAAATATTTGCTTTTATTCTGAAGTCCATAGTCCGTCAAGGCTACCATTTTGTTTAAAACGCTATATCTGCGTTTGGAAAATTCAGTATGACAAAGCGCCTTAACGACTCGGAAGTCTTTTTAAGAAATTCATCGGCTACATTTCCCTTATGTATCAAGCTACTACCGGATTATATGTAGGTATGTTGCTATGTACTGTGAAGCAAACTGTCGACTGTACCTTTTTAGTATTAAATAAGGTAGTCGACCATAACATGGGGGTCGAAGCTCATCTGGGACACTTTTTCTTTAACTATTTGTTTTATTTAGTTTCGATGTTATTTACTCATTGTTTCTCGAGTCTAATATTTTAGTATGGGCTGGTGAATACCAAATCATTTATAAAAATAGTTTCCTAATACGCCTGTGTTTTTTTCACCATGACCTCCGTATCATGTGTCACCCGACCCTTTGGCAAATATTTGGATAAATTAAAAAAAAAGTATAATTTCTGGGACTTTTTTGACACATTCATATAATCACATTAACGATAAGCATGTGATAATAATGATGATAGAAATTAGAATGACTTTTTTTGCGGTTCAAAACAATAAAAATAATGAATTCGTGAGATCATGTTGTATTGTTAGATTCTATCATGTCGGAATCCTTTCTCCTCGTTAATTCTAACTGATGCCTCATGATGACATCGTTTCTTGTTATTTTAATGTCTTTATTGAACTAGATAGAAACTTTCAATTATTATTGTTTTAAGGAGATCGCCAAGGTTAAGTTACAATACTTCCGGTCGTAAAGACAATGATCATGCGCAGATGTCTCCCGTTGATTAGATTCCAATACCCGGATGACAAATAACCGTATTTAATCGATATAAAGTGTGTTTTTATCTCACAGAAAAAATATGTTTCGTAATCTGACGAGAACAAACACGGGCATTTAATGAGTGAGTTATTTCTTTTTTTCTTGATTTTGTGTGTTTTTGAAATAAAAAAAGATATTTATCATTTTTAATACCTCAAACAGCCCGGATTTGGTTAATATTTATGTTTTTCTCTGTCCACGTAAATCCTGTTTTTGTGGTCATGTATTTTGTTTTTTTATTGTCTCAAGGGTGAAGTACACTGATACACAAGCAGCGTCTTCTAGAATTCAAGATAATTAGTATAGATTACAAAAATCTCTAAAATTCTCTTAAAACAATCGTATTAGTGGAAAGAATACTCTATTATCAATAATACAAGACATCTTACTGATTTCAGTTTATTTACATTATAAAAAACACATTAAATATGTCTAGTTATATCAATATAGCATATGCATAACTACGAAAACTGTCACAAAGACCTGTCATGTCAGGCCTTCCATAGCGATACGGAAAGCCACAATTTTAGAGATCCAGAATTGTTTTTGGAGACAGGAAACACGACCTAACAGATGTTCAAATGAAAAAAAGAAGATGGTATTGATCATTCGACACTTTTGACTTGTTTTATGACAATAATACAAGGGATATATGGGTAAATGATTTGTGAATTGGTTAATAAGTTATTATGCTCTCCTAAAAGGTACAAATATTTGTCTATCAATGACTACACCTTCATAAAGACAGCGCGAGGCACAACACGGATATACCTGCTTACGATGATTATTATTCAATACGTATTTTTATGAAATTATGGGTCTAGTGCTTGTTCACATCCAGAATTTGAACATTCTTTCCATCACTCTGGATTTTCTAAGTCGCTTGAAATGCAGACCCTTTGCATCACTGACGAGTCTTTGAAATATGACTCATTATGTCTCATTATGCATAAGCGTTTTTTTTTTTTTTTATTTATTTTTTTTTACAATCTTTCCCACACGCCGTACGTTTGCTCAGGATTTTCCTTCTTTGCATCGACAAAGACGAATGTGATATTTAAGTGTACCCTGAGTGTTTTGCTATATTTAGCTATCAAATACTTCATATTACACAATAAAGGACCGAGAAAGTGAGAGCGTCGTAGTTAGTTTTCTTTCCGAGATATTGTGATTTTACATAGCTTTGACTGAACGGCGATTGCCTCGAAATGGGTAGCCCACGTCTGTGACGTCACAAATTCAACGCTGTTTAAACAGCCCTGAAGAAATGTATCAGGAAGTTTCTATTTTGTGTTCGACATGCTAGGTTTTTAGCTACTTATGTGATATATTACACTTACTTATGTAGATTATATTTAAAGTGCTACATACATAAAGAAAATGACTTTCACAATCTCAATGATGATTTTCCCCCTTTGAGTAAAACAAAGGACGAGGGTATGCGAGTGTTTGAACTCACACGCGGATGCTTTCTAGATAAATCGATGTTTACATAGTTTGAGAATCTAGTGACTATGATTAGTATCCTGCAGTATTAGTGAGAAAAAATTGTCTTGAATAGTTGCATTAATTAAAGGTATGGAGGATCATTTTGTCAATTTAGTTAACTATGACTTGGTTGTAAGAAAACAGACTAAGAGACGAAACACCAAGGAAAAGATAAAAACGGAAGGACAAGTTGTCATCCCTAACATCAAAGACCTGTCAGAAACCATTCAGAGGATTCGCCGTGGTCAAGGCATTACAGCGGCCGTGAAACCTCGCTAGACATTTCGACATCTCCGAGTCCACCCTAAGGATAAAATACCCAAAGAAAACGTCGCAGAATGTGTATACAAAATCTTATTCAAGAACTGGGACGCATCATACTATCGGAGAAACAGGCAGGAGACTTGGGTCCGAGTCAATGAACATCAAAAAGATGTGGAATCCCAAGAAGACAAAAAATTCACTAGATCAGAGCGAAAACATTCACAGTCCCAGATCAATAAATCTGCACTTACAGATCATTCCACACAGCAAAATCATATCATTGACTGGGATAATTACAAAAATAGTCGACAAGGAAAACAACCATTTCAGGAAGCCATCTGGATACGTCGCAGCGGCCCGGCCAGTACGTAATAGGGACGAGGGGAGTCGGGGCGCTCAAACTCTCGCACATTAATGACCAAGTATTAAACAAAGCGTAGCCGAATTGACTACAATGCATTGTTACCATACGGTGTATTGTTTTTGGTTTATAATCTGTTTACCATCTCGTCACACTATTTTCAACATTTGTGTAAATAGGATTATAGTTCAGCCGAAAAAGTAGGTCGATTCCATACCATCTCGTACACTACGGACGTCAGTGCTAGTCGGCTCTACACTGGTCATTTGTCTGATGAAGGTGACCGTGTAGTTAGTCCGCTCCACACTGGTCATTTGTGTGAAGGTGACCGTGTAGATCTCGTCACTACGTACGTCAGTGCTAGTGCGCTCCACACTGGTCAATTGTCTGATGAAGGTGACCGTGTATATCTCGTCACTACGTACGTCAGTGCTAGTGCTCTCCACACTGGTCAATTGTGTGATGAAGGTGCTAATCGTCTACTGGTTGTGTTACCAACATCAAGGAAATGTTCCAAAATATTGTTATTTCTATGTTTTATGCAACCCAGCGGTTTCAGGAAGTTAACACGTGTTAAATGCATTAGACAATTGAATAATTTTGCACACAGAGAACTGTCCGTTCAAGTCTCACATAGATAAGTAATGTATCAGGAACCATCTTATCAGGCTTATGCATTTTATTCATTTATATATATATATCTTTTAATCGATCCTTATACATTCCCTCGTTATGAGAACGGAGGACGTTGTTGTTAAATGGGAGATCGAAAGAAGCATAACTTACACCAATCCACTAACTAACTTCAGGTCCAGGTTACCCCTTATCCACCGGCTGACAACCCTATGATCTCATACAGTTACACAGGTATAAAGGTATACCTATCGGATCTCTTGCCGTGACAGAATGTGACACAAGTGTATTTAGTCTTATTTATCTAAACACACATCTGACACCTAAGTAGACTAAGGGAGTAGTCCGCAATGATTTAATGTTTCTTAGTGCTTGTGTTCCAAGACTTAATTAAACCATAATGATAAATCATAACTTATGTATTATGCATGTATGTGCAGGAAAGATGGAACCCCGTTATTCATTTATATTTTCGAGAAAACTGTAATTACTGGTAATATTTTATCAAAGTCAGTGATATATGTTAACGTCTTATACTTAAGTATTGTAAAGAAAATCCTTTTTACGTCGGTGACCAGACCTAAGGATGATGTTAATTTGTCAATAGGATCTATACAAAATATGTAATACATCTTATCATTGATTAAAACAGCAGACACCAATTTTGATATTATTTTGAAAATACTGACATGTTTCTGTACACCGCAGTTGTACCATGGTTTATAACTTTGGAACACAGAAATTCTAGCAATGAATACGTATGGCAAATTTCTCATCAGAGCTCAGAAACTAAATATAAAATGCACAATGCCACCGGATTTTGTTACCCTTGAATCGTTTGTTTGCTTTCAATAAAACTCACAAGTAAATTTAAATAAAGCTTCACGTACTAGGGGTAATCCTTGTAAAAATGTCTTTCACTACTTTTTATAGTGTCATCTTCATGCCAATTAAAGGAATATTTCGATCTAAAATTTCTGAAGAAAGTCTTCATCTTACTGCAGGCCTTAATTCAAATATATTCAGACATATGTAGTCCTTCATTCACTCTAGCGACATCTTTTCATTTTAATGGTTATAATCTTTGAAAACCGAACACTTTATACATCAATATATCCGTATTGGGCAGGCCGACTTTGATCCGGTTTTCAACCATTTTGATTGTGGATAAAAAACAAAAATTCTATATTCACTCTGGTTACGCTTTAAAATGGCGACAAAGACGGGGAAAAACCATACAGAGACACAATGATTAGATGGTGCGCTACCACCTTAATGAAGGGAATCCCGAATACTATAGCCAGCCGGAAGGCAATCATAACGAAATGTATTTGAAATGAATCGTTAATGATAATGTTTTTTGCCTAAATGTGGAATTTCGAGCAGAAATAATCAATACAAGTCACTGCGCTTCAATGTTGTTTTCACATTTGAATTCAATCTAATAATTTCGAGTGACCGGTGCAACTTTAATTTGTTATGTCCAGCCGGTTAATACATCAACGTTTCGTTTTTATTATGACGGTTGTAAGTTACTTCGTTTAATTTGTTAATTTCCTTCACGAAAAGAGTATCATGACATAATTAATTATCACCAAATGTATACAACCCAATCGGACTCTTGACAAATGAGTTTAGTTTATATATATATTGTAAATAAAATTGATTACAAGATGTCACGTTTTGTTCATTTTGTTGCTTTACGTCCTTTTAACAGCCAGTTTAAATTAAGGACGAAGTTCCCTTAGAAAGACCACCGACCTACGGCTAGACCCTGGCGGCTTTCCTACGCAAGCCTCGCTCCCTCGACCAAGAGGTTGAGAAATAGGATGGCCAGACTCCTTACCCACTCAGCTACCGGGGTCCAGACGTCAATCACTGATATATAACTATGCACCGAAAATAAAAATTTGCTACTCACGTGAGAACTTTCCACTTTAACGTGTTTGAGATTCGGGTCGAACAGTAGTATATCCGGGTGTATGTCTATTGGAGATTGTTGTTTGCCCCAAGAGCACATCCGGTACGGGCCAGTGACGCCCCAGTTGGCGGGTCCTATACAAGAAAATGAAAGACAATTCTGAGTATGTATCGACAAGATTTTGGTAACATGTCCAGCTTTAGGTCAAGAATATTATCTGAAAGATCTATTTACGATAAAGTGTAATTCGAAATGAAAAAAGTAAATATGCTATGGAATCTGTAGATTTTATTGATTGTGAACTCTAAGTTCGATGATAGTAAAATAATCACACCGATGACGTGAACAAAGACTGTAGATGTCGAAGAATGCTAAATACGCTTTCAGTTGGATAACGGAACTGTGTGTAATAACGTCATCTGTTACACAGATGTCAAGGCAGTAAATAATCTATTAAACAAGAAAACTACCGTTGTTCTACTACGTTCTTACTCCGGACATAAGATACGGTGACTGTAAGACGTAAACACGAAGGACTTGGTTTAGTTGAGACACTTTTCAGTTCAATTTATTTCCGTTAGTTATACAACTTATTGGTTAAATAACAGTAACAGGACAAAGGTACTCACACTCTTACCATCATGTACACTATGTCATCATAATGCTGGTATAATAATTTTTGGAGAAACAAAAAAACAAAAAAAAAAACCGTGTGATAGCTACCTTACAGAAAAATACCCGGCGACATTTCTGGTGGCATTATGAATGTGTACGAAACTTTAAAAGTATCGGGTGTATAACAGGTCATCATAAAATACACGGCCATCCGATTATTAACCAGTACTTCAGCCCTACTACCGCCAGACCTGCGGTCGAAGACCAAGAATGAACAAGACCACGTGGAATGGGAAGGTATTGCTATTAAATTCACTGACCGACGCCGTGGGTTAATGCAATGGTCTTTGTCGCCTTGCCAAGATAAACGGTTCGTTTATGCATAGAACCATTTGATTTAAAAGTTTGATAACAGCAGCATAACCTGATCGTAAAAAAAAAAAAAAAAAAACATGCATCCTGAAAAAAATCTACAAAAATCTCGTATGAGATTGTAAAATCTACATTCTTGGCTCGCGATATCCGACATAGGCCCGATATGGCAGCCGATATTAAAAACACCACCCAGACTGTACCGTTTGTGTAGGAACACCCCAGACGACTCCCAAAGAACCATTGGAGTAATTCGATTTATCTGATAGATTGTGGTCAGTGATATCGACTGACTTGTTCATATACAAGGGAAATGACTACCCAGTGTCAGCCGACATTTACTCACATTGGCTCTAATAACCCAAACTAGACAACGTTGGTAGTACTAATAATATTTCCTGTTTCAAAGCTTAAATGTAACACTATGGGATACCCGACAGTGTTCCAATCGTCAATGGACCTGAGTTCGAATCCGAGGCGATCATTAGCGAGTATGGATTTGAGCATATTTTTGTCAAGTTCAGGCTTTCCGCAGATCAGGCGGAAAGGACCATCCAGACAGTCAAGAACTTGGTTTATAGAGCTGACGATCCATTTCATGCATTGTTCAATTACGATAACAGATATACCCGTATGGATGGGTTGGATATTTCCATCCTGCTAAAATGTTTCTGGGTAGTAGGTTAACATCAACAACACCATTGTTAGAGCTAACGCCAACAAACAAGTAGGAACTCAAACTACCTATGAGAACACTTTAGACTAAGGCACAGCACAATTCTGACACCATTCAGAATGAGAATAAGTGGATTCCAGAAAAAAATCAAAATAAACAAACGAATCCACGGTCGGATGTCGTAAAAGCTACATATTGTCGGTGATACTGTCGTAACCGCCATCATATTATACGTACAAGTACAAATTTCATTTCAAAACTCTTAGATCAAATACCAGACCTTCATGACACACCATCAGATATGCACCGAATCAATTTGCAATCATGTTTGAAAAAAACAGGAAGTAGAACCAAATGTATTACCTGTGATACTACCGCAGGAGGAACCGCTTGGTTCGACCATACCAATACAAAGAACTGTAAGAACCGTGGTAACCTGAATTGGCAGAGAGGTCTACACGGACTGCAGGGCCTGTGGTAACCCAAATTGGCAGATAGGTCAACACGGACTGCAGGGCCCGTGGTAACCCGAATTGGCAGAGATCTACACGGACTGCAGGGCCTGTGGTAACCCGAATTGGCAGATAGGTCAACACGGACTGCAGGGCCTGTAGTAACCCGAATTGGCAGAGATCTACACGGACTGCAGGGCCTGTGGTAACCCGAATTGGCAGATAGGTCAACACGGACTGCAGGACCTGTGGTAACCCGAATTGGCAGATAGGTCAACACGGACTGCAGGACCTGTGGTAACTCGAATTGGAAGAGAGGTCTACACGGACTGCAGGGCCTGTGGTAACCCTAATTGGCAGATAGGTCAACACGGACTGCAGGACCCGTTGTAATCCGAATTGGAAGAGAGGTCTACACGGACTGCAGGACCTGTGGTAACCAGAATTAGCAGAGAGGTCTACAAGGAGTATAGGACCTGTGGTAACCCAAATTGGAAGATAGCTCTACACGGACTGTAGGGCCTAAGGAAACTTGAATTGGCAGAGAGATCTATAGGGACTGCATGACCTTTAGTAACCCGAATTGGCAGAGAGTCTACACCCCAAGTCGCCGTTTAATTTGTGAATTTCGAGTTAAACATTTCAGTCTGTTCCATTTTTGGTGAATCGTTGAAATCATCTTTATTCGCAAAGTTAACTACAAAGGCGTAATAATATAAGAAGCAGTTTCTTTGCTGTGATTCTGTGGTAAAGCATAGAAAAATTTTTTTCTTGGACACCGTGAAGATATTTCTCAAAAAAGATTGCTTCAGCATGTTCGAGATTTGTACAAAAGACACCCAAGTGAATAGCAAATGAATTAAGCTGCACCATACAGCTGCGTCTCATCTTTCCAGGACTTATCACTGGTGTTAAGAACTTAACTACTGAAGCTTAGGAGGCGACTGAGGAAAATTCAAAGTGATCGAAATAAAAGGTCAAAATCTAGATGTGGAGGTTCACTAGCCTCATAGCTCATAAACTGTGGAATTTTCATCGACCTGATAATTTCAGAACAACGTCAAATGCATGTGATTATTAACAGTATTTTAATGGTCACACAATTGTGTAGGTAAGCTTTTAGAACAAGGAAATGATGTTTTTGATTTCACTTACTTGTTTATTACTTCATGGTTGATGGTACTTATTGTTATGACAGGTATGATAAACACTTAAATCCGATAAAACTGTTTAAGCTCTCAAAAGACTTTGAATCAATGCTATTGTTCGCCGGATGCTGCCTTCCGCCTCGAATATGAAACGATGATAATGTAAAGGCTTTATGTAAATACCGTTTTTTAAATGGTAAAGAAATAAACGAATATTATTAATGTTTTTTCTTCTGCATCAAATGCTACGCTAATTTTAGCTGGATCAATTACACATACACAACTCACTAAAGTGTGGGCATGTTATTGACGCAAATGTCTTTCTATTTAAGTATCCACAGCGTTTATTTGAATACGGTGATCATAGTTCGGCTACAGTGCTTATTTAAACACAATAACAACAGTAAGGTTATATATGTATCCATTGTTTATTGGATCACAGTGACAACAGTTCGGCTGAAGAGATCATGAATATTTGCAAATTAAATATCGACATTTATAGTTCATATTGTTTTTCTGTGACATAAAGGTACGGATCTATGTTTTATATTCCTCCTACGTATGGAAATGGGTCAGCACTATTACATCGCATGAATCCGTTTATTCTAAGTTATAAACTTGATAACATGATATCTTCCCTTTTGGCTGAAAACAAGGTAATGGTGTGGTGACGTGGATTTCGTCTGCAAGAGATAAGTGCAAATATATGTTTTCATAAAAACCACTGACACTATAATGATGTCACGTGGTTGATTTTTTCAGTGAATATGAAAGAAAGACATCAAAGTTACAGGGTAAGCCTAACTACACTCCCTGCAACATGTGGCTGATATATCACATTATATCAGAATTGTTTGTTGTATTCAAGGACAGGTTTACTGAGGTTATCGCGTGTTTCGTTATACTGAAAACTTGTGTCTAGCTGTATGTTACCAAATATTGGCAATTGAAACCAATTGAAGAAGATATTGAAGTTATATGGTGCCAACAATAGCGTAACGACAAGAGAAAAACGTGCTATACCTCGAAATTGGTAAAGAAGATTTATAAGTAAAGCTTGGGAATATTTGAGAGTGTACATTCTAACAAAAAGCATGTGCTTCAACTGATTGAGTGTCCTATATATTGCTGACATCCGCCATCTTAAGTAAAATGAAAAAACAAAAACAAAACAAAAATAATCCTGTTACAAAAATTGAACAATAAATCACACATATAAGAATATGGAATTACTTTCAACGAATTATGACAACCAGTCGTTATCGATGTATAGGTAATTGGTTTCAACTTTATCATGTTTATTGATACTGCAAAGGTTTCTAATTCCGGTGCTAATATTTATCACTATCATAATTGTCTATACCATCGATAACAACAAAGACAATACCGGCATGATATCAGAATCTTAATTCACCCTCAAATTCGATGAAATTAGGGCAAAATTTGAAAAAGGAAGACCCGTAATCTCATCGAATAAGGACGAGAAGAATTAAACCAGATGTCCCGGAAGGTACACGTCTTCTGCTTCATCGGCAACACCCGCCATGCATATCTTCATCATTACAAGTAAGTAATGTCACGCTGTCACGTCCCCAAATGAGAACAGTGTAACCAAGAAGGGAACAAACAGACATACTTCCCCGCGACAATCACGTCCAACTTCATATCGATATTTCTGGCCCATCATGAACAACATACCTTAACGTATTGGATAATGCTATAACCGGCACTTATTTGAAGCTTTTTTGTTATTATCACGAAGCGAGTTGTATAGCTACAAGTAACACGACCAACCCAATAATGGCAAAACATGGCATATGTATAAATTCGGGAGTACATCTTGTATTAAAAAAAGAAATTGAATTCCTTCT